TCACCGTCCAAAGCTCTTGTACAACCGCTATTCAGTCATAGTGGAGCCCATGGTAACAGCTGAATCGGAAAATACAACGAAGGTCTTGATCACAAACTGCTTTTCTCAAGCCGTCTTGCTTCCTTATCAGACGACAATTGGCCTCATTGAAGAAGCAAGCAGAATTGAGGAAATTGAGCTTTCTCAAGAGGACTGCCAACAGATCCTCCAAATTTCATGCCTTCCTTCTCCTGTAGACCTTGATGCGCCACCAGCTCATACAGTCATCGATCCGCACCACTGTTCAATCGCAATAGGAGACATCAGCTTTACCATTGGAACAATGTTATCTTCCAATGAGCTGCAGGTTGTGAAGGATTTGTAGGTGCAACATTCGGTTTGCTTTGCACAGTCAAGTACAGATGTAGGCTCCTGCACAATTGAGCGACATTGCATTCCAACAGGAAATGAAAAGCCAATACCGCAACGTCCTCGCAGATTCTCACCCGCACAGCGTGATCCCGTCAAAAGTATAATCAGGAACTTCATTGATGCCAATATAGTGCGACCTTCTCGGAGTCCTTGGGTGTCACCCCTTGTCCTTGTAGCAAAGAAAGACGGGACGACGCACATGAGTGTTGATTATCGACGTCTGAACGCCGTCACTGAGAACATTGTGTACCCTTTCCCAAGAATTGAAGATGCACTGCAGGCACTCACCGGAAGCAAGTACTTTTCTGTTATGGACTAGGTGTCTGGATTTTATCAGATTGCCATGCATCCGATGACATACAGAAAACTGCCTTCGTCACGCCGTCGAGTCTTTACGAATTCCTCCGGATGCCATTTGGCCTTAAAGGTGCCCCATTCACATGTCAGCGAGCCGTGGATACGATGATTGAGGGTATTAAATACGACAATGTCCTTGTGTATACGGATGACTGCATAGTCTTTAGCTGGACATTTGAAAAACACGTTTCGCACCTTCAGATTATATTTACAAGGTTCAAAATAGCAGCCTTGAAGCTCAAGTCACAGAAGTGTTTCTCCCGACCCATCGAAACTGGCAGTGGTTCAGGCTTTTGGCCTCCTCAAAATATACAGAAACTACAATCATTCATCGGGCTCGCATCGTACCTCAGGAAGTTTATCCTGAATTACAGCGTTATCGCAGCACCTCTTCAATCACTCCTAAAGAAAAACGCTTGTTTTTCTTGAAAAAAAGATCAGCAAGTGGCATTTGAGACATCCGCCTGTCCTTCAGCTGTTCTCCAAAAAACCACAAATTAGTGTCCAAGTACACACAGATGCATCTCAGCTCGGCTTGGCAAGTCTATTGCTGCAAGAGGACGAAGAGCGACGATATTGTCCAGTGCTACACTTGAGTCGATCTCTCAAAGGCGCAGAGTTTAATTATTCTTCGACAGAACTGGAAGCTCTTGCAGTAAAATGGGCATTAGAAGAGCTACAACCATACCTGATTGGCCGAAAATTTCAAGTTGTCAGCGACCACCATGCACTGTGCTGGGTCTTGCGCTACAAGGAAGGAAATTAATGCCTTCTTCATTGGTCACTAATTCTGCAGGAATTTGACTTTGATGTCATCTATAAATCACGAGTTCTGCACAGCGCACCAGATTGTCTTTCCAGGAATCCTCCCATTGTTTATGATGCTGAAACAATTCTTGCAGTATATTATTCATCACCGCGATTATGTGACAACAAGGGTGGGGAGCAGCGTCAGGATGCATTTTGCGCTAAAGTCCTGGACATGCTTAGGAGTGTGTTGGGCACGAAAAAGCAACAGAAACGCGTTCAAAAGAAGTTTATCACGCATAACGACATGTTGTACAAAAGAGACCAAGGCCCAGTCAGCAGTCAATTTCTCCTCTGCCTTCCTGCACAACAACAAGCTGAGGCACTCCTTGAAATGCATGAAGGACGATAACGGTGGCCACATGGGCATCAGGCGAACATTCGATGCCCTTAGGTCCAAGTATTACTGGCCGAAGCTCTATGCAGATGTCAGACGGTACGTGCGTCACTGTGACTTTTGTCAGAGGATGAAGATGTTGACATCGACGTCTTACGGTCTACAGTGCAGTCCACTTATAACGATATCGAGAAAACCTAAAAATATGATCGTTATAACCGGTGATCGTTATATCTGGACTGCCGCCAAAAAATCGTCGCCGGACGTACCTTTTGTAGCTCCAGGCTTCATTTTGCTATTTTGACCAATTAATAAATATTGTAGATAGTAGGATGTCAAAAACAAGACTTTATTTCTTACTCCGAAGAACGCATCACGGGTTCGCTGAGGAAGAGAGACTGACCGACGGCGGGGTGGGAGCAGTGGGAGGAAGAAAGCACAGCCAGAGGTACACAGCCGGAATGCCAACGAGGCCCCGCCCCCATGCCGCCGCGCCGCTTTGCTTCTCGCTTTTTTTATTTTCTCTCTCTTTCCCGCTTTCGTTCGGCAAGCTACGAGTAGCTTGCCGGCTTGCCGTTGTAGAAGGCGGGGAGCCGCGGAGCGCGGCGCTTTGCTTTTCGCATTTTTTTTTTTTAATTCTCTCAGCCTCTCCGCGGTCGACGCGCGGCGAGGCGCAAAACGTGACACAGCTGGCGCCATCTGTAGCGCGTCGCGCCAACTCGCGATGCTCTTCTCGGCTTTTTGAACGGCCGGGACGCGCTGCCGGCGCTGTCCTGCAGTGGCGGCAGATACGTACTCGCCTACGCTAACTTTTCATCTTGTCTCGGCATAGTTCGTTTCAGAAGAACTTATCAATCTAAATGTTACGATTATTCTGAATGAAACATGCCGTCCACGGCAAACTTTTCATCGTTGTATCCGATATGCGGTGGATAACATATCGTTATATATGGTTTTTTTCCCCATAGCCCCAATGCATAAAATGAGACTGTTAAGTCGACCCATCGTTATAACCGATATATCGTTATATGTGGTATCGTTATAAGTGGACTGCACTGTATTACAGCCAATAGAAGTCCACAGCTCATTTCATACAGTTGGGATGGACATAATAGGGCCATTCAAAACTTCAACAGGTTACAAGTACATCAGTGTAGCCATTGATTACTTCGCAAAGTTCGTGAAGGCAAAACCACTCCTGGACATAGAGGCCGCAACCGTCCAAAAGTTTGTCGAACGAAGGATCATCTTAAAGTACGGATTTACAGCCACAATCATCACGGACCGCAGTACTCAAATGATGGCACGCTCTACTGAAGCATACTTCAAACATCGGGGCATCAGACATGCTGCCACTACCACATATCAACCCGCAGCAAACGGATTGTGCGAAAGAGCCAATAAAACAATCAAAAAGATGATTGCCATGACTACTGCTGGGGGAGAAAAATGGGCCGATGTCCTCCCTTATATTGTATTCTGTTACAACACCGGGTACCAAGACACGGTTTGCCAAACTCCCTTCTTCCTAGTCTACGGTAGGGATTCGGTGCTACCATTTGATGTTGTATACAGCCGCCGAGACCTTGAAGAGCTCAAAGAAAATTCAAACTATTTCACGGTAGTGCGTGAACGACTACAAAAAGCCAGGGCGCTCGCAGCCGGCTAGCTCAAGAAAAACAGAAGCGGCACTTTGACAAGTCCCACAAGGACATTGTATTTGAAAGAGGATAACTGGTGCACCTCAAGGAGGCTCCAACGTCCGGAGTGAAAGCAACTACATCGTACACCGGACCTCACAAGATACTGAACAAACTGTCTCCCGTGAACTACGAGATCCAACTCGCGGACAACATGGGAAGTGACGTTGTGCATGTTTAAACGTCAAGACCATATCTGAGCCCCACTGCTCACATGGAGCAACCCGAAGCTCCAGACTAAAGTGTACATGGGTGCCCTGCAGTGTAAACAGTTGTTGGTGCTTGTATATAGTTTTGTGTGCCTGAAAGTGGATAGACAATGTTTTGTTGACTTTTCTAAATAGTTACAAATAGGAATGTTTAAGTTAGTTTAGGTATGTCTGTCTGAGTGTTTTGTGTATGAAGTGGGGACGACGAGTTTCCAAACCTGGGCATGTGACGAGCGATAGCGGATGACGCGCGGTGCGTCTCTCGCGCCATTGCACGAGGAAAACTAAGTAGATCAGCGCTGAGCTCTCGGGCGATCGAGGAATGTGAATTAAAAAAAGGGTCTGGCAGTCCCTTCCTGATCTTGAAAGAGTGTGGACGTCCTTCTTAGGCCGCCTCGAAACCGAGTATATCCGACGGCCACAACGGAACGTCACACACCAGTATCATTATGCCCACATCTGAAAACTTTACTGGTGATCATGAAGAGCTGTGCACGACCTTAATGCAAGCATTGAGAATCAAGTACTAATAAGCATACAGATTTCTTTTTATGCGTGTTGCTTTTCACGCTTTGCACATAAAATCACCACCAAGCAACCTATGGGCTGCACTTGTTTCTTTGCAATGCCACAAAATGGTAATGGTCCCCTTCAGCATATTTTCCACTTTTGCCATTGGTTCATGTGAAATGTGCATTCCCTGCCACAGAGGTTGTTCAGTTATTGACACGGATGACAACAAAAGACTACAATCATAAACAAAAGAAAGGGAATGAATCAAGCTGCTCGTTTCTTTCTCGGACACAACCTGACAAAGGCAACAAAAAGCACATGGGACAGTGTTTGTCATTTTTAACTGTAGTGTGAGAGAAATATAGAGGAATCGAAGTGAACAAGCAAGAACTTGCTGATGATAAGAAGAAAACCCACAACATTCTAATCAGATAAAAAATGAAAGAAATTTTGGTATAGTGTTGCCCACATTAACAAATTCATTATTCTCTGGCTTCTATTCATTATTATGCAGTGGAACCATCATTAATTGAAATTAACACACATCAATTCCTACTCGAAATTCCCATGCCGAGGCTGTGAAATGAGCCCACAACCTCACATTCAGTGATGGATAGCAAGAGCCACAAGACTAGCATAGCAACAAGCGTAGGATTGGCGACTCACCCGCATGGTGGAATGCCACTTGCATGGACAAACACGAGGCCAGAGCGGGATCCATTGCACCGGGTGTAGAGCGCAGCCGCTCCACCAGACGCTGCCCCGTTTCTGTGCTGATCCGGGAGCGCAACTTCTCGGCCAGTTCACGTCGTGGGAGACCTTCGGGATGGACCACAAGTCACCAGTGCGTCAAACCATGCTCAAAGAAAGACAGAACACAACCTTTTTTGGCTTTCAATGCAGAATATAAAGCTTAGGAGTGGCAATGATGCTGCAAACTGTTTGGTCAGTTCCATTTGCAGTTGCTCGCAAAGTCTTGAACTGAGCCAGAAGTTTAAAAAAGGCACTTGTTCGACATTTTACAATTACTGATATCGGATTTCAATCAATTATCTGAAGCATCAGTCACCTATGTTAGCTGCTTAGATGCTAATGAAAAAACTATACATATCACTATCCTCACGGCTTTATCCAGCTCGTTACAATAGAACTTATGGAACTTGTTATTAGGACTGAATTTATTTATTTATTCATGCTCATGTTTAGAAACGCAAAATGACACTGTTATAGCGCCAAAGACAAGATGTGAAAAATTTATGAACACAGGGTAGCATGTTGCAAAAGGCGATGTTTTAACATGCAGATTTATTGTCCCGACAGTTTCAACCAAAACCAAAAAATGACTTTTGGCATATATTATATTGTTCCGTGCTCTATTCATCTCTATATAGCTAACACTATCCCTGTCCTCTGGGAACTATGCTGTGCCCCAACTAGTTTGCTATCTCACTAAGCTAGCCTGAAGAAAAAGTATAGGTGTAAAAAATTTGGAGCGAAAGGGTTACAACACAGCTACAAAATGATAGTGCCAGAATTTTGCAATTTGGCACAGACCACCATGGTACCGACGTGAACTTTCGTTGAAAATCTTGAGATCAGTCCGTATGAAAAAAATCGCTGGAGTTTTTGTTTAGGTGCCAAGGTAAAAAAATGAACAGGTAATGACAACATGCCTCGGTAGTTAGTGCTGGTGACAATCTGCTGCAAGGTGCGCGACAGCGAGGCTGCCAGTGCTTCGCACCAGCGCCGTGTCGGGCAGAACACGAGCAGCGCATGACCCTCGGCCCAACTCTCTAGGCAGAGTGCAAGCAGGCCCTCTGGGTCATCAGATGCCCCAGCCGGCAGGCGTTGGACAGGTCGAAGGTTGGCACCTTCGCACAAATCCTGGCCCAGCTGCAAAAGCCTCATTCTTAATAACGAAACTGATCTGTAACTTCGTTGACCATTTACTTAAACCTTTAGCTCTTCTCAGCTCATTCTCAAGTTCCCTGTTGGTGTCAGATTTGATAGTGTCCACATGATGAAATTTTTAAGCTTTGGTGCTCTCATTAAAGTTAGGCCCCATCCACAATACAACTAAATCAGTAACCAGCAGGAGTTGTAAATTCTTGTGCTTGCTATATATCACACTATCCGCATTAGCCTTGTAAAAACTCACACTCAGCTTGAGTCTAGCTTCATTAAATAGACCACAACTAGCGTATTACCTTGTATGCACTACATTCTTACAAATGAAAACGTGGAAGAGGGAAAACAATTTTGCGCAAAATTATGATGCATCCACAACACTTCCAAAAAAAGGTCAACCATGATAACAGCAACTGCGACATATGAAAAAGCTCTAAACATGGCTTGAGGACAACATGAGAGCAGAGGAAAGTCAACAGAAGTGTGCAGATCACCCACAGAACAATGCATCCAACACAGCCCAGAAGCACTATCAAGGGCTTCTGGCAATACATACCTTATCAACAGTTTGCCGACGTGCTTGGAGTAGCATGCAGCGTGCATCACTTGAGGTTTTATATCAGGTATTTTCGATCTTTATGAAAAGCCAGAAATCTACTGTGCTGAAAGTTCGACACTGTTTGACAGAGGAGTTGTCAGAGCAGCCGTGAGTAACTTCAACGGTATCTTTGAGGTTAACGACAGGTGGCTGAGCAAGTCGGCAGGGATTTAGTGTGAAAGGCAAGGCAGGCACAGAGGCAAGAGAAGGGAAAACACAGGCGTCATTTGTCTCATGTCGTTTTGCTCTCTTGTACCTTTCCAAACTATCAGTTTTTTCTCACAGCTACATTAAGGCATGCTACGGGTGCCATGAAAGTAAAGTAGTCATGAGATCTGGTAGTGACGTATCTCATTTTCTCACGCAAAGCCCGTCCAAAATACACAGGAAATTTGAAAGTAAAGTCAGCGTGCTAGTTTGGTGCCGAAGCTGGCTTCAAGGAGTGGCTTCAATGCAATGCAAGGAAGGCCACTCCACGACCATACAGGAGGGTGTTTTCTTATCATTTTTCATTTTATACAGTTTGTAATTTGGAGTGCAGGTTATAGATGGCTTAAGCGTGAGAAGATGCGGTAATTTTATTTCCATCAATGTCATCATTTCAGTGATCACCCATTATACTACACCCACCTTGAACAGCTGCCGCAGAGGCACAGGACGGAAGTCTGTCTGGTAGAGGTCAGCGCTGAGCCATCCTGCCAGAGCGGAGAGGTTGGCAAGGGTGGCACTCATGGCCACCACTTGAACACCCTGAGATCCCACCAGGCCTCTGAAATCACAAGGAGAAGGTACTATGGCACAATCTAAAGACCACTATGCAAGACTTGAACTATACTATATTAGGTATCAAAACAAAATGGAAGACCATTTCTGTCATTATGCGAGCACAGAGCCCCAATGAAAAGTAAAAAAAAAAATTGCCGACTATTACAGTATTCCACGACGAGAAATTTGAGCGAAGCTGTATGCAAGTTTACATTTCACGGGTTTCTCTCCGACGGCAGCAGTAAGTTTTTCACATTGACAGTGCACGCACCTTTGCTATGGCACCACGAATCGCAAACACTATGGTGCCACTTCACAACTTGGTGCAGCACTATGCTTCCCTTTTCACACTTCTGCCTCCCAATTTACTTTTGTCTTTTGCTGAATTTGTTTGTTTGGCTATGAGGAATATGGCACACAACTCTCAAAGCAGGAAAATGGGCTCCTAAGAGTCATACTCTAAATGAAATGAGTAGGCTTGGGCTAATACCCAACCACTTCGAATAATCAAATGAATATTACAGTATTAGGATTCACTTCCATTCGAATTTGCATCAATTGGAGTTTAAATTATTAGAAATTTCAAAGTACTGTTCAAAATGAACAAATTTGTGTTGTATTAGTTTGCACGTAACTCCTGTACATATGTTTTCACATCAGCGGAGAAATGCTATGCCGGGAACCCACCTATCCAGCGAAAAAATCTGCAGTACTGCAAAGCCAGCTTTCAACGTTAAATGAGCCCATTACCCTCGCATTATTCTTTCATTTTTGAACTTTAGAAGCTTATTATACCAGCTTATATGCCATAACCATAGTAAATTTTAAATGTTAGGTATTTTACAGGTTACCACTTTCATTTTACCGAAGTCAAATCCTGCTAATATTCACGGTTGCTTCCGCTTCCTTTTAACCTTTTAACATCTGCTCATGCCTTATTTCTATTTTTCAAAAACATTGTGCCGCTCAATATTATGACAAATGTGGTCTTTTTCTTTATAATATGCTATATACACTATTCTAATTTGATTCTAAATAACTATACTAAATCCCTATTCGCTTCAAACCTATGTTTTTCTATTCGCACAAGCCTAGAAATGTGAACAGTCATACTCTATGTCTTTCAATCAGCTGTCTGAGCTTAAAATGATGTCAGCAGGCAGTACTTTCTGAACCAAAATAATGTTTCTTGATTTCACTGTTCAGGCTTTGGTTCACTTAAACCACAGCAATCAAGTTGTAACTCATATTGAACGTGACTGTACATGTAACACTGCATTAGCTTCAATCAACTGGCCATTTAATTCTTTGTGGCAGCTACAGAAATAATATGCAAAAACTGCAGATGACAAAAACCCATGCTGGGGATACCTTGGACACTGTGTAAGCCTCCTTCCTCTCCTCACTTTCAAACCCTATCCCAAAAGAAACTGAAGATGCCCTCGAGTTGACCTCCTGGTCTTACCTGGTCGACATCAGCCTTCATTCTTCACTTATGTTCCAGCATCAAGCAAGCCAGCCAAAGTGAAAAAAGAAAGGTCGTTTGCTTAAACGGCAGTCATTAGATCTTCAACTGGTATCATCTTCTATTACTACGGTCAATGCATAAATGATGTTATAGTTGGCTTTTAAAGTGTTACTGTTAAACATGTTTATAACAAACCTCCATATATTTATTCGTTGATATAACGAAGTTTTTCTATTCCCCACCGTTGCTCCATAGAAGCACACGTATTTGCGACCTCTATTCAACAAAGTAACAGCGGGAGACAACCTTTATATAACAAATTTTTCCCACAGACAATCTAGGAATTTTGCTCCCCATTTTAGCATTTAAGTACGAGCATGTATCTTCCGCGGCTGCCACGCTGCGGACTCGACAAAGAGCAAAGCGGCGGCGGTGGGCAGGACGCACTCGACGAAAGCGGGCATTGCGTGGGTGAGCGCGAGACAGGCAGGCGGGCCTACACCCCATGACCCGGCGTTACCGCCGTTTTCGCCGTTGCGGGCACAAGCGTGAAGGTACCCCACCCACTCAAAACCAGAAAAAAAAAACTACTTTTGCATGTTAGCAGTGCCGGGCTTTTAGTTCGTGTCACATAAGTGGAGCCGCGTTGCATATGGAAAGCGCTTTACCGAATAGCTTTACGCGATGTCTGTGCCCGTGTCGTTCCCTCTTCGTTTTTCACGCCGTGCGCGCGTGCATAGTTTCACTGCGCGCACATGGTGCAGTGACGACGTTCAGCAATTATACGGACAGTCTCGGCTGGCTTTTTGCCATCGCCGCCGTCATTCACTGTATATGTACACGTGTCTATATATATGAAAACTCAAAGTGAAAAAAAATAAAGCCGCCGGCGCTCGGCGCAGAGCTTGTCGCGATGCACCAAGCTTGTCATCATGCGCCGACGCGCGCTTATCTCTCACGCGTACTTTGGGGGGGAAGGGGGGTAGATTGTTTGAGCGCTTATCCTTATCCTTCGGTAGATAGAATCGCGCGCCTTCGCCTTTAACCAGAACAATTGTGTTTAGTAGCCTGGCGCGCAAATATCACTTGACTCACTATACAGGCGCCGTTTGCCAAGAGAGCGCTTTTCAAACATGCCGAAATAACAGCTGGGGCACTTTTTAGTTTGCACTCATATCTGTACCTGTGATTACATTTCGTGCCTCATATTTGTTTGAACAGTGCATTAAGTGTCGAGCGGTAAACATTGTTAGTTCTCTCTCGTCCTGTGTACGTTACTTTCGTGCGTCATTTTGTGTGTGAGCAGCGCGCTGCACCTGTCGATCTGCTAGCCGTTCTGAGCGTTACATTCCAAGTTGTTGCAATCGCATTCGTTGCTTGGCCCTTGCTGCAAAGCTGTCACTTTTATTTCCTTAATTCCCGACAACCATGTCGTCACAACGAGAGGATGACAAATTAGGCGCTGATGGAAACTCTTCGAGACCACGGTAACGACGGATCTTCGGAAGGTCGACTCGTCACGCGCTTCTGTCTTGTGCTGCGCCGCGAGTTCCCTGGCTGGTAGCTTTCGCTATTAGGCGGCCCCGCCGCGGTGGTCTAGTGGCTAAAGTACTCGGCTGCTGACCCGCAGGTCGCGGGCTCAAATCCCGGCTGCGGCGGCTGCATTTCCGATGGAGGCGGAAATGTCGTAGGCCCGTGTGCTCAGATTTGGGTGCACGTTAAAGAATCCCAGGTGGTTGAAATTTCTGGAGCCCTCCACTACGGCGTCCCTCATAATCATATGGTGGTTTTGAGACGTTACACCACACAAATCAATCATTCGCTATTAGCCGATCAGTTCTGGCAACACGACGGCCCGTTGAATGCAATGCACTAAACGGGATAGCCAAAAAATTAATGTTATAAGAAGTAAGGCTGGCAGCCAACTCTTTCGGATCCGATATCGCGGAACTCCTACAAAACGCTGGTGTGAGCGAATACGGCCGCTCCGAAAGAAGTGCTCTTTTCACACAGTCTCTTCGCGTTGAACGCGCACTGATTTAATCGCCGAGATAGCAACCGTGCCAGCGTTCGCAACTGCGCTTCTTAAAATCCAAATTCATTATTGCTACTCAAGCGACCCCACCTCCTCCACCCCCCCACGCATTGTTTCATGGTCGTTCAAGACAGGTGGTTATCTGTTTCATCATTCGACAGCAGTTTTAACACGCTGGAGATGGTATCTTATGCACTTTCCAGGCGATAGGGATGGGCGAACTCATTTGATCTCTGCTTCAGCAGCGCTCGCGCGCTTTTTCTTTTACCCGCTCATGAAAGTCACCATGCACGGGCATGTTATCAATTTGGACTTGTTACGGAACATGGCGGCAACGGCAAAAACCCGCCGATAGTGTCTATTCATTTGTATCACAATAATATCGCACTTTTTTACTGTAAAATAGGTGTTTTGGGTTAGCTCTGCCTCTCTGCCTTCGGTCCCCCTTTTGCTTAATTTGCACAATTATTTTCCGAATTTTCGTACCGCACCTCCATATAACAAAATCCTCTTTATAACGAATTTTTCTGAGAATTTATCAATTTTGTTATATCCAGGTTTAACTGTATTATTGTTACAATGATGTGATCGACCGCAGCCATTTTAGTGCAGCTTCTGGAGCACAGAGGTAGAAGAGGGTACAGTACTTAAGGATTGAAATAGTACACTCAGAGCACGTGGCTGCCAGTGCATGCAGTGCCACTCATGGCTGCTCATGGTAGTGAGGCGTTGCATTGTGGTATAGAATGAGGAAGAGAGCATCTACACAGCAGGATTGCTCTTTCCAGTTCCCAACCAGTGGGCCTGTACGTCACCACACTGAGAGCGTGGTGCTGCAAGTCCTGAGTGCTTTCACGAGCAGAGAACGCTCTCCTAACACGTGCTATGCAGAAAGCGTGCTGTGCAAGACATAGGCTTCGGCTGACAGATTGTGCCTCACATGCGTTCATTGACGTTACATCCGCCCCTGCTTGCAACACAATGCAGATTGGGCGCGCAGAACGTGGGTGAAGGAAGTGAGAAGCACACAGACATATTTTGACATCACCACGATATATCACTGATTGATAACCACAACAAGAGCGGGCCCGGCACTAGAATTTTGGCAGAATGCAGCGTTTACTTGAGCGCATGCAAGGCACAAGCTCTCTGTCTTACTTTCATAGCATGCGTGCTTATCTCCAAACACATGTAGCAAGAGCATTCTTTGCTCGCCCACTGGCAAGCCATTTCAGTGGCAAGCCATTTCACACAAAAGCACGCAAGCCTTGCAGCGCCCCGCTGGCAATGTGGTGAAGTGCAGGTCTGTTTGTTGGAGACTGGAAGGAGCAATTTTACTGAGTAGATATTCTCCCCCTCACAATATACCCCAGTGCAACACTTTGGTTCCATGATCACCCACGAGTGGCGTTGAGTGTACCGGCACTCCGAATGTCCTATTTCAATTCGTGGGTACTGTGTATGGGTTTGGGAGCAGCCATGAGAGCAGGCAAAAGTGCTTTCTGTAGTAGGCTTGCAGCATCGCAAACACAATTGGAAGCAGGCTTGGAGAAGCCAGAGAGAATGTCAGAGCAAATGTCTTTACGTTTGACAGTGTGTGAAGCAACATTTGTCTAATGCTGCATTTTTTCAAACACTAAGCTAAATTGTGCAATAGCTTTATCCCCACGATAGCAATAAGGACACTCTTCAAAGGTTTTTCACCGTTGTCATCATGTCCTGTATAATGTCAAAATAGATAGCATTCCCCGCCCATCATATGTTGTTCCCGTGGGTAATTGTGCACCAAGAGGGTAGACAAAAAGGACAGAAGTAGAGATATGATGAGCCAGCCCACATCCATTGATCGGAGGACGCATGCAATAACATCACCATGCTCAAGATGCCTACTGTCAAAGCACAAAGGAAACAGCCCACACGTCTTAAATAAGCATGAAAAGAACTCGTAACTCTACAAAATGCTGGTGTAAGAGAATATTGCGGTGCCAGCAAGAGATACTCTTTTTTCAGTCTCTTCTTGTTGAGATCATAGCATGTAGAAGGGTTTACAAGCTTATACGTGCTAATGCCTGCCGTGATCACGCATGCATAGCGAATGCAAACGCACGCTTACAAAAAAGTCACAGTTTTGCCGCAAAGGGAAAGCAATGAACGCAATAGCGAAAAATTGGAAGGTAGGCCACGGGCTGAATAGCAAGCAGATCGAAACGTGCTTCGCATTTCTTCACACACAAATGACGCACGAAACGTACTTACAGGTACAGATGAACACGAATAAGCATCTCAGTTGTTACTTCGGTTTCCTGAAAAGCACGCCCTTTTCACAAACTGAGACTGCGCAATGATTGCAGTGACCTTTGTGCGCACAGTAACTACAAGAGAATCTGCAACTATTTTTGCACTTATCTGCAAAGTTTCAAGCTTCTCGCGTCATTATTTCTGATGCACTAGCACCATTATGTAGTTGTAAACGACGAACAGTCTGAAATAACGAGTTACGTCAGGGGTACCTCAGGGATCAGTTCTGGGACCATTACATTCTTTATTGTATATAAATGACATTAACGGAAACTTACAATCCCCTAGTAGGCTATTTGCAGACGACTGCATTTTATACCGTCAGATTACCTCTGAAACTGACAGCTCCATAATCCATAACGACCTATGTGCAATATATGCGTGGTGCCAGAGATGGGAAATGAAACTGAATTTTAAAAAAACTGTATGCATGAGGGTTTACAGAAAAAAAAAAAAACAGGTGAATTTGAATACACAATAAACAGCTATCCGGAAAAATAGTGCGCGAATACAAATACTTAGGTGTTTTTTTTTCCCCTTTCTATCATGGAATCGGCATGTGGATTACACTCTAAATAAAGCTTGTCGGAGCTTAGGATTCTTAAAAAGAAACACATGCTTTTCCACAGCAAACCAGGAGGTACTATACAAAGCATACGTGAGATCAGTACTGGAGTACGCATGTCGTGTGTCGGACCCTGCATCATCATCAAATAAAGAAAGATTAGAAAAAGTTCAGTCCATGGCGGCGAGATATGTGTTTGATGCACCTATGTGTGACAGATAATTTAGTGCGACAGAAGCTAAGCTCAAGTTAAAATGGAAGTCTCTGCATCACCGAAGGGCATCGTTTCGACTGAAGCTACTGCACAGCATATTTTATTCTCATGCTTGAATTCCCCGTGACATGTACATAAGCCGGCCTCACTACATTTCAGCCCGCAAAATCATGAACACAATATAAATGCAATACATCGTCCTTCAGCAACTCTTTTTTTCCTAGAACTATCAGTCAGTGGAATCGACTTCCTCCCACAATTGTAGAATTTTCTTCAAATGGACGAGTTCTTTTTTGCAATAAAAATGATTGAATCTTTCGACTGCTAAGCCCTATAGACTACGTGTGTGCGCCTGGCAGTCGCCATGATCTGTACAGTTTCTTGGTTGTAAGCTATCTTGTTTTGTTTTGGTGCTAATTTGCCCTTGTGCTAGACAACTGCTCTACTTTGTTTTAATTATCATGGGATTTTCATCAATTTTCGTGGTTTCTGCATTTTTTTATCTAGTACATATGACTTTTCTGACGCATCTGTGTATGTTTTGTCTCTTGCAAATCTACTTCTTTTCTCTTTTTTTTTTTTTACACAAACTTATGTGAAGCTGCAATTTTCATGTTCTTTTTCTGTACCCCCCCCCCCCCACTATAATGCCTGCACGGGCACCACGGGTATTAAATAAATAATAATAAGATCAATTTATAACATTCTTGTGAGATGAATGTGAGTGCAAATAGACGCTGAAATCGCGCTTTTTTCGCACCGCACCATTGTCGTTACACCTGAGCTATCATGGCTATCATGGCTATCTTCGTCTCATTTGCAAGGGTGGTCTTTATCTTCAATTTCCTGCGACCGCTGCCTGCCTTGCTTATTGGTTTTTCAGCAAAAACGCGTCATCGAGAAGCACCAGCGCGCTATTCTATTGGCTGCTTGGGGCACGTGACAAAACCCAGGCATCCGATTGGCCAAGTGGCACTTTCCAGCTTCTGCTTCACCATCGTGCGGTGCATGGGCATGCGCCATTTTGCATGGTGCTGTCAACTGCCTGCTGCAGTAAAGAAGTTCCGCGCCACACAAATTTGTGAAGTGGGCGTGGCGATGGTTCATTCAACGTGAACTTCAGGAAGAGCCCCGCTCTGGCTCAGGACAATGACGATAACAAACTCGCTGCGGCCGACAGTGGTTGCCGAGTTACCGGTGTAGGCCTAACTCACATACAAGCCCGTCGGTTGTCAACAACGTCGCTGAAAGCGCCCTTGTTTTGGAGCCTTAACAGTTAAAGGATGGCAAGTAAAAAAGCAGAAGTGAAGCTACGAGAGATATCAATCTTTGCAGCGACAGAACGAAAGCGCAGTCTTATCGCTAAATGCACCGATGCCGAGGTTCCCCCTCCCCCCCCCCCCCCCCTTGACAAAACGACCTCGTTTGTGTGTGAACTACGTGACGGATCGTCAGAGTGGAGTTTGCCGCGCCTTGACAAACAACAGAAAATCGATCCGTTCGCGATGAATGTGCTCGCCGCCCACGCAATGGAGGCTACTGGCAACAGGTAGAGTGCTTTTAATGACGTGTTCACAACGATGAACACATTGCACTGCGGTCTCCACTCGAAAATATGGTAATCTCACATGAAAAAGAAACTAACATCTCGCTGCTCTTGCAGCCTCAGAATTGATGAGAGCGTGCCCGAGTTCATACTGCGACATCTGCTAGTAACTCAATCTGGACAAGCAGGAAAACATCGCTGCGTGATATGACGGAGCGCAGGTGAAGCGTGCTCGTTAATCGCACATCGGTGTCAGTACTGTCAAGCAGCCTTGTCGGCAGACCAGCACACCGCGACAACTTGCAGCAGGACTTGATAGAAACGACACGCTATGCTAACAAGCAGTCTGATCACATGCCTGGTGCATATTAACTGACTAAAAGTATGTTTGCCATAATATTTTTTTCAATAAAAACGGCGAAATACACTTTTAACCGTTTCTTTTCTCATTTTCTGGGAACACAGATTTTGACCACAATCCTTGTTTGCTTCTTCACTAACAGCAGATCTAGGACAGCTAGAGCTACAATTATTTTTGCACAATGTAGTTAAATGTGCACCGAAAGCATCGCTGAGATCCAATTATTATTGTGCAGCTCCAAATTTTTTTAATTTTCATTAAAAACTTTTTTGCTTTTGGTTACATGTAGTGAACTTCATTAAGCTATAAATCAATAAGTACTTGTTCAATTTTCTATCAGCTTGCAGCGTTGCGTTTCTTAGGCTTTCTAGTATCCATATATATGTTAATGACTAAGTAATTTTATGTAAATAAATTTTCATTGTTTAAGCAAGAAATATAATGTAATTACTAATTATCTCATAAAATAATTAACATGCATAAAATATACCTGGATAGTTAAAATAGCCTCAAGAAAATGAACAAGGCTGAGCGGTCTCACCTAATTTGGTGAAGAAATAACGCACATTATCTTTAAAACCCATGATCCCCTTCGGAAGTTTGTGAGGATAACATGGCCACAGCAAGCTTAGGACTGAGTTATATACCAGAGCCATAGGAGACGCTTTTGCCTTGCAGCAGGTGTAGTCAGGCTGACCATCCTTATTATCAACTTTACGAGGCAACGTGCAAGGAACCAAGATAAATGCCTGAACAGACTTCTCACATAAGCAATCAGTGCCAATCACACAAATCCCCTACAATATCATTTCACAGCACCCTACAGGAAGCCGTGATCGGCCTTTATAGTTTCCTAAATATTTCTAGACAATGCAGTATTAGTTTTTATTCATGTGTAAATGCTTACAGCTTTTTTGTGGGCACATTAGATTGATCATTGGTGCCCTCAGTGTGCCTTCGCACAGTGAAATAAACAAGCCTAAGCATTGCTGATGTAAGCCAAATAGAAGGCACAGCTTCGATTAAGTGAACTTGTCATCGTCTCATTCTCAAATGCGATCAAACAAAACACTGGTAAATCTAAATTCTGAGGAAAACATGAGCATATATAGTATCTAGAGTCTTTCCGATTAAAAGCTAGAAGATGGAAGTAGGCTGAAACTCTAGTCAAGATTATAGTAGTGTGAGGAAAAAAATACTAGTGTAAGTAATGTGAACAAAAGACAAAGAGTCTTGTACCATTTCTCTAACAGAATCATCTCTTAGGTAAGGCACGGCATATTTGCATGAATGTATGTATAAGAAGTGAATATCAACAGCCTTCAGTGTGGCGATATTTGATACCTTTTGGCGATGATCTATGCAGTATGTGTGCAACATGCCCTCGTGTACCCATTATTGTAATGCTATAGACAAGACTTAATGCATACAAATCATAGTGGATGGCTGCAACAATGCAGGCTCACCTCTTCTGTGCATAGGCCACCTTTGTGAGCATCAATTCAAGAAGGTAGCCTCGGTGGGCATCCCCCACCAGGTGTAGTTCGTCAACCACCAGGATGCCTAGAACACATCAACCACACCACTTTTAAGGACTTCAAGTGGCAAGAAATATGCAGCTTTCTATTTAGCGTGACATAAAGGGTGACATACATGACACCAACAATAAAAAAGTCATTTTATTTTTATTATTATTATTATTGTTTATTTAGAAATACTGTCAACCCTTTATTGAGGGTCATTGCAGGAAAGGTACGTCACACGCTACAAACAAAGTAGGCACATAACTATACATCTCACAACGATAAACCAGGTATACATATGTACAAATACATGAAAGCTCTGCATTCAAAACGAAAAACACACTCTAATTCGCAATGCAACAGATAGCAATCGCCATATACTTTACAATAAATCACAAATATAAATCGAGTCAATTCACAAATTCATTAACATCATCCGCATTGACTATGATACTCAGTAACGCATCCCAATGACATCAGGGAAAAAAGCATAACGGTACATCTTCGTTCGCACAAGATAAGGTTGCAGTACTCGTGTGTGGTTTGTCTTCTTGCTTTGTTTTCTAGGCTGTTGTACGTAGTTATTTTTGTTAATTTTTAACTCACCTTCCATTAACTGAACAAGAAACCTTAATCTATTTTACGTCTGCGCTTGTGGAGCGTCTCCAGATCACAGAGTTGTAGCTTTTCTGTGACTGAGTTGTTATGCTTATATCTCAAGCATATAAAGCAAGCTGCAAGCCGTTGTATGCGTTCAAGTTTACTAACCAGCACTTTTTGATGGGGACGGCCCTTGATCTCACTCACCAAGGCCTTCGATACGATTTCACATCAGTTTATACTGGAGGAGGTAGACGCATGGGATTAGGTCCCAAATTCCACGCCTATGTTCGCGCCTTCCTCAGGGACAGCAAAGCCACAATAAAATCGGAGGCCTTCACCCTGGGTGCGAGGGGCACGCTGCAGGGAGCGGTAATTTCACCCCTTTTGTTCAACATAGCCATGAAAGGCCTCTCGGAGCGCCTATCCACTGTAGCCAATACCAACCATGCCTTATATGCCGACAACATTACAGTCTGGTGCATGGGCAGGTCGGATGCTGAAGTTTTCTGCAGGATACAGGGCTTCAGCTATCCATCTCTAAATCGGAGTTGCTTCTATATCGACCAGTTCGACCCGCAAGAAGGAAAGAGTCACCACTTGATCAGGTGCAGATTACTATAACCACACGGGATGGGCAGTCGATTCCAAGAGTCAATTGTATTCGGGTGCTAGGCTTCCTTCTTGAATCCAACGGCAGAAACTTGCAGGTTTTGGCTCGCATCACCTCCAAAACGAAGAAGTTGCTCAGACTAATATTGAAGGTTTCAAGACGCAGGGGAGGGCTGAGGGAGAGCAATCTCCTTCGGCTATTCCATGCATTCCTAATAAGCCACATTAATTAAGTGGCACCTTCGCTAAATTGGTCTAAACGCGGGGAGGATAAACTCGACACTTTATTGCGTAAAAGCATCGAAAGGGTACTAGGCCTACCTACGAGCATCAGCACGAACCGGCTCATGAGTCTGGGCATGCACAACACCCTCACGGAGGTGACCGAGGCACAAACACTAGCTCAGGTCACGCGACTCTCCACCACGAAAGCTGGGCAGCGTCTCCTACAGTCACTGGGATATCGTCATACGGCAGGGGAGGAACAGGAGATCTTATCACAAACAATGAAGGGCACGTACGAGGTGGCACCCTTCCAACGTAACGTTCATCCACAGTACAATGTTGGCCAGCGAAAGGCACGGGCCAAGTATCTCTTTGATTTCGTGGCTAGATCCAAGGGCAGTGTAGCTTTCGTCGATGCGGCACAGTATGGCCGCTCCGATCGTTTTGCTGCTGTGGTCGTTGATAATAGCGGTCGCGTACTCAACTCAGCTTCCGTGAGAAAAGTATCTGCCTCCATAGCAGAGCAGGTAGCGATAGCCTTGGCGATGACGGATCCTTCGCGTCCAGAGATATTTACTGACTCCAGGGCTGCCATGGTGTCCACGCAGTATGCCATGTTACAACTTAAGTACCAAATAATAGATAGCGCAACCAGATCCGCCAAAGCGGTCTTAGGTCTGGACCTTAAGAAAACGTTTGACAATGTCAAACTCTCTACAATACTGACGCAAATAAAGAAATTGGGACTTGGTAAGCGGACGTACGACTACGTGCGTGATTTTCTCACGAGCAGGACAGCAAGGATCACGCTGGGAGAGCTCGAGTCTGGGGAGATTGAGATGGGCCGCGCCGGCACCCCTCAGGGCTTGGTGATTTCGCCTATGCTCTTTAACCTCGCACTCATAGGGTTGCCGGCTAAATTGGAGGAGATTGGCGGGCTCTTCCACAGCCTGTACGCCGACATCACCATGAGGGTAACGCAGAAATGCGTCGGCCAAATAGAACAGACACTGCAGAGAGCCATCGACACCGTTCAAGGCTACTTAGAAAGCACAGGCCTTACCTGCTCCGCTGAGAAATCGGAGCTACTGGTCTACAAACCTACGCGCAGGGGTCGCAAACCGAGAGACAACGAGCAGAGTGGAGAGAAGGTGGAGGGAGAGATACGGCTGACGACCCCGGAGGGCCACGTCATTCCCACCGTAGAGAGCATACGAGTATTAGGCTTGCACCTCTTTGCTAACGGGCACAATGGCGAAACCATTCGTAAGTTAGAAAACGGGGTTGACCAGACCATCAGACTGCTAAAGCGCATTACGAACAGGCACAGTGGCATTAAAGAAGGCAAGATGATTCGTCTCGTGCACGCCTTCGTCCTTAGTAAAATTACGTACCTTGATCCTTACTTGAGGTGGCAGGTTGCCGAGAAAGAAGAATTAGAACGCTTAATCAGGAAAGTTTTTAATCAAGCCTTAGGATTACCAAAAAACACGAGCACGGCAAAATTGTTGGATCTAGGATTGCACAATACGCTGGACGAATTGGTAGAAGCGCACAACATAGCCCAATTCGAACGACTTTCAAAAACGAAAACGGGCAGGTACATTCTCGAACAACTAGGCATAGGTTATCATACGCAACACGGAGAAAAGGCAGGCGTGCCTGCGAGGGTGAGGGACAGAATAGTGGTCCCTCCGTTATCCAGAAATATGCACCCCGAGTATCATGCTGGTAGGAGAAACAGACGGGCACAGGATTTGCAGAGGAAATTCAGCAAGTGCAAAGAAGCGGTCTTCGTTGACGCGGCTCATTCGCGAGCAAGGGCGGATTCGTGGCTGCGGTGGTTCGACCGCGAATGCAAATGCAAGACGAGCATTACGGTTAAAACTCAGCACACAGAGACGGCCGAGGAGGTGGCAATCGCCCTTGCGGTGGCCATCACAAAGGTTGTAATAGTGATCAGCGACTCGCAAGTGGCGATATGAAACTATGCTAACGGCAGGGTGTCCCGGGAGGCGCTGCGAATATTGTCGATCAACGCGGAAAAAATACGAAACAAAAATGATACATTTGTGATATGGACACCTGCCCACACGCACTGCCCTCTGGCCGGCAACAGGGCTGCAGACGCGGCGGCTCGAGAGCTCACGAACCGAGCAGCTATGCATGCCGATGCCGCCTCTACCGAGGACACACGCGGAAAAGTGTGGGAGTGGGAGGAACGTATGACTAGCTACAGTGAGATTACGCAGCACTACAAGCTCGGTCGGCGTAAATACCCACCACCACATATCAAATTAACTAAGCAGTCAGTTGCATGGAGACAACTCCAAACAGACACTTTTCCGAATCCAGTGATCCTTCGCCTTTGTTACCCTGACCTGTATTCGACAGATAAATGCAAAGCATGCGATTCCCGGGCAACCCTGGGCATATGTTATGGGAGTGCTCGAGTCTCAATGACGCAGTCAGCAGTACAAACGAGGAAGCAGTCTCGAACCGCAGGGCACGCTGGGAGGCGGCTCTGCTCAGCTCCGCATTAGAACAACAACTACGGGCCGTCCAGCGCGCCGAGGAAGCCGCCCGAGGCCAAGGGCTCGCGGCCGATGCCTAGGTTGAGGTTCAAGCCCGCCCCGGTTTATCATCGCCGGACTATTATTAAATGTTGTTTCTCTCTCTCTCCAGGGCTGCCGCCCGGGCCTTTGCCTCAGAAGTAATCTCCAGAAAGGCTGCCGCTATTTTCAATTCCAGGGATGCAGTAAGCTACCGCACAATCACCTGGTTTCCAGCCCACATGGGCTCAGAGATGCATCCGACTTTTTCCAACGCCAACAAACTCGCCCATAACCGTGTGCGAGAATTCACGTGCTGCGGCGGTCCGGGCGGGTATGGAGGTGGGTTCGCGGATAACTTTAAAGATCCACTTGGCACTTTTAACGAAGTGATGTCCCATTAACAGTTGTCCAGGCGGAGGTAACCGCTTCCGCATTCTAAGCTCACTCGGCTGCAGTCGTCAGTTCTTCGGATGCTAAAGGCAGGTTCATTCCCATCTCGTAACACATGCAGTCACATTGCTGATGACATAACTCCAGGATGCCCTAGTTGTGAGGCACATAACTGCGCACTCGCTCACATGCTCTGGCAGTACCCAGCGTTACATGGCACAAAGTTCAGCAGAAAAGAAGACTGGGAGAGGGCTCTTAAAAGCCCCGAACTCTCAGTCCAATACTCGGCAGTCCAGGAGGCCTGCGAACGGCGGAGGGCCACGGTCTTCCCGTCCTGGCGTGGACGTGGCCAGCAACTGCGGCGGACCCCTCTTAGGGGGGTGTCTGACCAGTTCTCCAGTACCAAATGAAGTTCATTTCACTTCACTTCACTTTGATGGAGACTCCAGACTATACTGGCATATCCCAGTATAGCCGTATAAAAGTGTTAAAAGCAAGAAGTTTTACATTCATACTTGCACCCTGCAGTTTTTTCCTTAATAATTACAACTTTTGTGAAGCCCTAGAGCAAACAATATCAATATGTGCGTGCCACTTTAGTTTATGCGTTATTGTGAGACCTAGGTATTTAAACGCGTTAACCGTCAACAAGGTGTGA